TGTTCTCTGTGTATATAAATCTCTCCACTGTATTTTCCACTGAATGAATCCGATGAAGTAAGCCGTAGCTCACGAAAACTTATGCTCAAATAAATTTGTTAGCCTCTAAGGTGCCACAAGTCTTCCTTTTCTTTTTACTAACTGGTATGTAACCTGTCGCTTAAATCAGGCTCTGTCCCAGATGACTGGAGGATAGCTAATGTGACATCAATTTTTTAAAAAGGCTCCAGAGGTGATCCTGGCAATCACAGGCCGGTAAGCCTAACTTAAGTACCAGGCAAATTGGTTTAAACTGTAGTAAAGAACAGAACGATCAAACACATAGATGAACATGATTTGTTGGGGAAAGAGTCAACACAGCTTTTGCAAAGGGAACTCATGCCTCACCAATCTGCTAGAATTCTTTGAGGGGCTCAACACTCATGGAGAAGGGTGAACCAGTGAATATAGTGTACCTGAACTTTCAGAAAGCCTTTGACAAGTTCTCTCACCAAAAGCTTTTAAGCGAAGTAAGCAGTCATGGGATAAGAGGGAAGGTCCTCTCATGGATCAGTAACTGGTTAAAAGATAGAAAATGAAGGATAGGAATAAATGGACAGTTTTCAGAATGGAGAGAGGTAAATAGTGGTGTCCCCCAGGGGCCTGTCCTGGGACCAGTGCTGTTCAACGTATTAGTAAATGGTCTGGGAAAAGGGGTAGACAGGGAGGTGGCAAAATTTGCAGATGATACAAAATTACTCAAGATAGTTAAGTCCAAAGCAGACTGCGAAGAGCTACAAAAGGATCTCACAAAACTGGATAACTGGGCAACAAAATGGCAGTTGAAATTCAGTGTTTAAAAATGCAAAGTAGTGCACATTGGAAAACATAATCCCCACTATATATCCAAAATGATGGGATCTAAATTAGCTTTTACCCCTCAAGAGATCTTAGAGTCATTGTGCTCTGAAAACATCCACTCAATGTGCAGAGGCAGTCAAAAAAGCTAGTAGAATGTTAGGAACCATTAGGAAAGGGATAAATAATATGACAGAAAATATCATAATGCCACTATATAAATACTGCATGCAGTTCTGTTCACCCCATGTCAAAAAAAGTTATATTAAAATTGGAAAAGATACAGAGAAGGGCAACAAAATTGATTAAGGGTCTGGAACAGCTTCCATATGAGGAGAAATTAAAATGACTGGGACTTGTCAGCTTGGAAAAGAGACAACTAAGGGGGGATATGACAGGTCTATAAAATCATGACTGGTGTGGCAAAAGTGAATAGGGAAGTGTTATTTACTCCTTCTCATAACACAAGAACCAGGGTTCACCCAATGAAGTTAATAGACAGCAGTTTTAAAACAAACATAAGGAAGTACTTCTTCACACAACACACAGTCAGCCTGTGGAATTCATTGTTAGGTGATGTTATGAAGGCCAAAAGTAATACTGGGTTCAAAAAAGAACTAGTTAAATTCATGGAGGATAGATCCATCAATGGCTATTAGCTAAGATGGTCAGGGATAAAACCCCATGCTCTGGGTGTCCCTAGACTCTGACTGCCAGAAGCTGGAAATGCGAGACAGGGGATGGATCACTTGATGATTACCTGTTCTGTTCATTCCCTCTGAAGCACCTGGCATTGGCCACTGTCATGATCCTGGGCTAGATGGATCTTTGGTCTGACCCAGTATGACTGTTCTTATGCTCTTACCCATGGGAAGAGATAGTAGCAATACTCATGTCCAAGAGGAACCCTGTAGGTTCTAGGATGCTCCTCTATCTTGGGGCTTTCTACAGCAGCTATCACCATTCCATCTGAGCGCTACATGGAGTCTTTTGCCCCCTCCCTTCTCTGGTTATGATCTGAAGGCCAGATACGGTGATGAAGTGTTAGCCAGCTGCTAGTGGAAATGTGGCACAGAGATAGGCACATGCCACGACCCACCATGGAGGCTGGACAAATGCATTGTCCTTGCTGGGGGGTGAGGATTGACTAATAGGTTCCTCGATCATTCAAGAATGTGTGTGAGAGAGCGCACCTCGGATCCATCAGGCTCATTGTACATGAGCCCTAGCGTACCCCACCAGCTGCGGCAGACTGAGTTTGCTACAACTGAGTGGGAAAGGAACTTGTCCTTTTTCAGTCTGGTGTTAACTGATACTTCCACTGTGGCAGTTTATGGCAGCCACGCTCGGAGCTCCCCGAACTCTCCTTATCTCTCTCCTCCCTGAGAGCCTGAACAGCTAATCTGTTAGAAAGCTGCAGTCCTTTACCACCCGAGCCCCAGAGCCGACACACTTGAAACAGCCGCTCTTGGCTCACTGTTTCGGTGTGTCCTACGACCGTACCACTTCACTTTCAGATATGGTAGGGCTCCACCCGTATGTCCAAACTAAACTCCTTGGTCGTATGCTGCTGTTGGATTCCCTCAAGACAGCAGCTCCCTATTATAATCCTGGAATGAAAGGCCATTGAATGTTGGCTGAGATTCTCAAGTGTATTTAGGCGCCGAATGCCCATTGATTTCAAGGGGAGTTAGTTGATTAACCCCATTGAAATCAGTTAGGTACCTAAATATCACTGAGGATCTGAGCCACTGGGAGTGAATTCTAATCCCTATTCTGGTGTCTGACCATCAGGCCTTTGCTGTACTCCACCTTTAAGCACAGAACCTGGGTATGGCCAGAATTTCCTGCTCTGCCAGTTGTCTGAAGACTAGAAATTGTTCCCACAGCTCAGTAATGCAGGAGGCTTAGCTCAGGAGAGGCCGCGCTGTGCTGGGCTCAGCAGAGTAAATGCCTGTGGCTGCCTTTGGTGGAATGGTCCATCTCCTGGCCACTGTTTAGGGCTATGGTTCTCTTCAATGCCTCCTGTGTCCACTTGGCCCAGAACTGGAGCTCTGGCCGAGCTGTCTCCAGAGCCACCACGGGGGTGCTCACAGACTGCATGCTTTAGCAGTAGTAGGGCTGCACAAGAAGGAATGCCTTTCCAACAGCACTGGTCACTGAGTACCATTCACAATGCCAGCCTGTTCGAGTACTGCATGCCCACGGGCGATTCTGGGCTGCAGAGCCACCATGACTGATGATGATGCACAAGAAAGGAAGAGACCAGCTTGACTCTCAGACGCCAGGCAGAGTCTGAAAAGAGACCGTCATAGTAACTGAGCCCTGCTGGATTGGAAATGACTGGGACATAACAAACCATTGGCCTAGCATGCCATTTCACATGGTCACTTTCTGGAGTAGATATGGATGAGACCAATACAGGATTTGATACAACAAAATACTTTTTATGAACTAATGCAGGTAGAACAGACACACAGGGCCAGCTGCAGCCTGTGACAGCAGATCAGAGCAGCACTCCACCAAAGGACAGCCGTGAACCAGCATGAGGGAAGGGATCTGGGGAGAATCCAGTGCTCCAGAAAGCCACAGCAGCTCCTGGCCTGCTGGAGTCCTTGGGAGACAGCACTTCCTGGTGTCATCCGATGCCGAGGAATCAGCGGGGTCACTCCATAGAGCAGTCGCTGCAGCACAGTCCCAAGGTGGAGGACTCTCTCCTTCTTCCCCAAGGGGATGCCGCAAAACACCGTACACGAAGAGATGAACTTAGATTCATCGCCATGAATGAGCCATTAGAGCTGCCATTTTAGCCTGCTACCTGGGTGTCAACATCCACTCAAGCTATGGGCAGACAGCTCCTTACATGGCCGACCTGCCCTCTACTGTGCTGGCCTAACTCAGGAGTCGCTCTGCTGAAGTCACTGGAGTTACACCAGGGTGAGAGGAGAAGCAGCAGTAGGGACCGGAGCCACAGCTGGTGTAAACTGCACTTATTCTCTGATCGCAACACAGGTACGGAGCTTTTCCCCAGCGGAGGTTCTAGCCCTAGAGCTCAGTGCATATGTGGGGGCACTGCAGACAATGAGCAGCAGATACATGGGCAGAGGGCCTGGCTCTCCTCTGCCCTGCGCCCTAGGCCACCACCTACTCCTAGGCAAAACGCGACCAGAGGAGAAGCCAGAGCACCGTGCACCTCAGTGAGTGACTCCACAGGGAGCTCTCCCTCCCTGCCGGAGCGCTTCCGGAGCAACCTGTGCTCCCAGCCCTGTGCTGGCCACAGAGCTGTCCCTTGGCTTCCAGGCTGTGCACGTGGGGGAGGAGTTCACCCTGGCACTGCGGCCATGTTGTGCCAGCTACACATGGGGTTGTACGTCCCGCCCAGGCAATACTGCTGGCAGAGGCACCTTCCGGGCTCGCTCGGAGCTAACTGTCCTGGCTCCAGGGGTAGCCTGGGGCGAAGGGGCTTGTCGGGGTGGGAAGTGGCATGGCTGCGATGTTCCAATGATCTGGCTGGTGCCTGGCTGCTGCAAGGCCCATCTGGCAGGGATGCTCGAACCAGCCCCCAGCAGCCACAGGATTGAGTGCTTCAGGACCACCCCCCGGGGCTCTGCACAACACGGAGATGAAAGTGACCCATGGTTTTCCTGCACAGTGTCTATCATTGTGGCTCAGTGTGCAGGGTGGGGCGGCCTCACCCCGCACTCCTGCTGCCCACACACCGGTATCATGCCACGTTCCTTGCCCAGCCATGGGCTAACCCCCAAAGGGGAGAGGCTGTCAGGGATAGATGGTCTCCTCTAGCTCCCGTCCTTGACCTGCCTCTCCCAGGCCCATTCCTGGATGTGGGCACCATGGCTCTGTTCCCCCAGACTTCCCCATGCAGAGCTCAGTGCAGAGGCTGACAGAGGCTGAAGACCCTGCTCGTGACTCCCAAGGTTCTTGGCGTGGGGGGGGCACTTGTGTCTGGCTCCGTCCTGCTGCTCCTGTGCCCACTCCTCCCGTACCCCCACAGGCCCTGTGCCCACTCCTCCCGTACCCCCACAGGCCCTGTGCCCACTTCCCCCATAGCCCCACAGGCCCTGTGCCCACTCCCCCGTAACCTCACAGGGCCTGTGCCCGCTTCCCCAGTAACCCCACAAGCCCTGTGCCCACTCCCCCCGTACTTGCGGTTCCTCTCTTTCACCACCATGCGGGTCATGCTCTGGATGCACTGCGCCCGGTAGTTCTCATAGTGGGTCTCTCGTGTCACATCCTTGAGGTCCTGCATGTGGGTCTTCACCAGCATGGTACGCAGTTTCACAAAGTCACAGTGCGCAGGGTTCTCCACTGCAGGGGAGGGGCCTGGCTTAGATGGGCATATTTGGGGACACCCAGCAAAGCAGGGCCTCCCCGACATGGGTTGGGGAGCTGAGGGCTGAGGGAACAAATGACCCTGTACTGCAGAAAGGCAGAGCACTGCTTTGAGTTGGCCTGGCTCCATAGTTGCATGAGGGGACAATGAGGGCTAAGGAGGGCCCTGCTGCAGGCCGGGGACGTCGCCCTGGCCTCCCCCAAATCACATGGAGGTGGGGCAGCACCTTAGTGCCCCCCGAGTACACCCATTGAGATTGCCAGCCAGGACCTGTCTGGTGTGAGTGCCACGGCCCTGCCCGCTGAGACTGGTAGCAGTCCCCGTCCATGAGCACCACTGCCCTGGGGGTGGAGTGATCAATGGCTCCATGTCTAGCTCGCAGCCGGTATCAAGGGGAGTGCCCCAGGGGTCGGTCCTGGGGCCGGTTTTGTTCAATCACTTCATAAATGATCTGGAGGATGGTGTGGATTGCACCCTCAGCAAGTTTGCAGATGACACTAAACTGGGAGGAGTGGTAGATACACTGGAGGGTAGGGATAGGATACAGAGGGACCTAGACAAATTGGAGGATTGGGCCAAAAGAAATCTGATGAGGTTCAACAAGGACAAGTGCAGAGTCCTGCACTTAGGACGGAAGAATCCAATGCACCGCTACAGACTAGGGACCCAATGGCTCGGCAGCAGTTCTGCAGAAAAGGTTCTAGGGGTTACAGTGGACGAGAAGTTGGATATGAGTCAGCAGTGTGCCCTTGTTGCCAAGAAAGCCAATGGCATTTTGGGATGTATAAGTAGGGGCACTGACAGCAGATCAAGGGATGTGATCGTTCCCCTCTATTAGACATTGGTGAGGCCTCTTCTGGAGTACGGTGTCCAGTTTTGGGCCCCACACTACAAGAAGGATGTGGAAAAATTGGAAAGAGTCCAGCGGAGGGCAACAAAAATGATTAGGGGACTGGAACACATGACTTATGAGGAGAGGCTGAGGGAACTGGGTTTGTTTAGTCTACAGAAGAGAAGAATGAGGGGGGGATTTGATAGCTGCTTTCAACTACCTGAAAGGGGGTTCCAAAAAGGATGGCTCTAGACTGTTCTCAGCGGTAGCAGATGACAGAACAAGGAGGAATGGTCTCAAGTTGCAGTGGGGGAGGTTTAGGTTGGATATTAGGAAAAACTTTTTCACTAGGAGGGTGGTGAAACACTGGAATGCGTTACCTAGGGCGGTGGTGGAATCTCCTTCCCTAGAAGTCTTTAAGGTCAGGCTTGACAAAGCCCTGGCTGGGATGATTTAGTTGGGGATCGGTCCTGCTTTGAGCAGGGGGTTGGACTAGATGACCTCCTGAGGTCCCTTCCAACCCTGATATTCTATGATTCTATTCTATGATTCTATGGAGGTGGGCGCAGGAACATGGAGGAGGATGTGGTCCCTGAGCCACTGAGCTACAAGCCAAACCCGCCTTACCTTCCACGATGCCCCAGGGATACAGTCGCCCACGGACTCGCCTTCCTTTAGCCTCCACAACTGTGTTGCTGCCGATCACAGCGAAAGGAATGCTCTCCTGGAACAGAGCCATGGGGTTACTCCTGGCCATGGCCTCCCCTATCCCCGGTGCCCTGGGACCCCATGGTCCATCTGCACTGGAGTGGGTAGTGTCATTCCCCATGTGGGCAGACACACCCGCAGTAGCTTGCTCACTGCACGGGTGTAGCTCTGGCTGCACAGGTGATGGGGCAGGCTGGCTGCCCTGAGAACAATCCCATTGGAGCTCCTACACAGGCTAGCGCGGGTGAGTCCACCTAAGTGTAAGTTACACGGCCAGCTCCAGTGTAGATGCACCCTCTATTTGCTCTGCAGTCCAGCTAACAAGCCTGGCATGGGAGTGCAAGTAGCTTTCCATTACTGGCACTCCTTCCCCTCGAGATCAGCACTCAGGGTAGGAGCGGGGCCAGCGGGAGAGAAAGTGGAGCAGTGAGAGAGATGGGCTGGAAGAGAGAAGCCAGCTCAAAGGGTCACACAAGGTTGGTGGTACCAGGTATGCCCCACTGAACAGGAGCTGGAGCACCCCAGAGCAATGGCTGGAAAGGACCTGGAGAGCTGCTGCTGGCTAGGAGCGGAAGAGCCATGTAAACTGACGGTTCAATGGGAGCTGGAGCAGGGCTTGGGTCTGGGCCCAGCCGCTGATCTAGGAGCCCCGCAGCAGTGGAGAGCGGGGGCTGGACTTGTGACAAATCACCATTGTGTTAATCCTGCTGCAATTCCTGCCAGCTGGGCCGGGAAACAGCATTTTACTGGCCCTCCCGGTCCTTCCTGCATGCCTGTCACTCAGAAACTCACCTCCCATCCTCTCAGTAGCCAGCAGTGATCACTGGCGGATCCCCTACCAACCCAGACAACCAACTGGATGGCTGCCCCTCCCTCCGCTCCATACAGCAGAGTGTGATGCTGGGGTCCACCATCTGGGCCTGATGTGCCATGCTACATTAGCTTGGTACGTTGCGCTGGGCCACCACCCTGGTTCTGTGCCCCCCCCGCAGCTCAGAATGACAGCACCATGACGGTGACACTGCTGGCTGGTCCTGTTGGCTTGGCTAAGGCAGTCTGCTCGCTGTGGCAAGACCAGCAGCCTGTCAGTCCCACTGGAGAGGCCTTCCTCCCCAGGCAGCCTCCTTCCATGAAGCTTTTTGTCCCATCTGGAGAAGCTGCCCGTGGCCATATTAACCTGTAGCTCCTCTGTGCACTTTGGGTATTACCCTGTGGGCCGGTATTTAACCACCATCCTGCATGGCAGCAGGTGCAATACCATCCCGGCACTGGGTGGTTCTGTAACGCAGGTCTGCCACGCTGTCCTCCTCCCACTCTGCTGCCTGCGTGGGACGGGGCAGCTGCAGCGCCCCCATGACAAGCCCCCCAGCTCGGTGCTGCCCTTCGTTGCTTGCGGCCTCCCCGCCAGCGCTGTGGCTGTGCCAGCCCACGGGGAGCCCAGGATGGAGGCTGGGAGACGCCATTGCAGGCGTGATCCTGCCCACGCCGGACTCAGTGGCAGGTTGGCGATCGACGCCAGCGGGAGCAGGCCCAGGGTGCTTTACAGGCCACTCTGGCAAAGGAGCCGGGAACTCAGCTGACGCACTCGACAGTTTGTGTCCAGCTCTCCTCACTGCCGGCAGCGGTCAGCAACTAATAACACCGAGTCCCCGTGACCGTGGTCTATATTCTTTCCTTCAGGTTTCTTTTAAAAGATTTATTGTCAAAGGCACCTGTGACTCTGCTGGCTCTGAAATCTCCCTAGCCTTGCATTCACACCTGGGCACTGTCTCTCTCTAGTGCTTTCCCCCCAGGGTTCTTCTAATGCCCGTACTTTGGAAGACCTTGCTGCCTTAGTCCTTTGGTACATGTCCACTCATTCCTTTATCTGCCGCTGGTCGCTCTTCCTCCAAACCCTGGGCTGGTTCTGAATACGGACTGGTCTGGTTGCTTCCCCAACACGCTGCATTTTCAGGGTGTCAGATCTCTGAGCAGCTCCTCCTGCAGCCACACTGGCTGATTCGTACTCCTTGCCTCTTTCCTTTTCAGAGGATCTAGCCTTTGGGGATCCCCCACTCTTCTCCCATGCCTGTGGATTTCAACCCTCCCTCCCATTGCTCCTTACTCACTAGATCAGGTGATTCTCCAAAACTGGCTAATGCCCAGATGCTGCTGTGTTCTGCACGTACCTTGTGGGGTCTGATTCCATTACCTCCTGTTCTTGGTCGGAGCCTCCCTCCCAGTAAGCAGATGATCCAGGAAGGTTTCCCTTCTGGCTGGACTACAAAGCTTCCCTTCTCAGAGTGTAGAAGCCACTGGGCTGAGGTATGTCTGGCTGCATTTGTCACACAAGATATACCTGGGGCTTAGCAGGCGACTCTGACCCTGTTCCCTGAGCTGCATTCAGTGGGACAGCTGCTCTCATCCGCTCACCTTCAGTGCCTGGTCCTGCAGCTTGAAATCCTCATCTTCATCAGAGTCGCACTCAGGGAACTGGTAGATCCGGATCCCATAATGTTCGATTTCCTCTCTAATCTGAATAAAGAAACAACCCCCAAGACTGATGGCTCTGGCGCTCAGCCCTCATTTTAAGGGCATCCCAGGAGAGAGAGGAATACGTTATGCTCACCTACATGCCAACTACTGTCTGTTCTTCCATCTCACACTGAATAGTAAAATCCAGACACCAGTGGTTCATTTCCTATGGTTTCCAAACAGGCCAGGTCCCTGACATGGTACACGGGCTGCTTTCTGCCAGTTCTGACCATTGTCTCGTGCCCCAGGAACCCTCTGGCACACACGGTGTGGCAGCTGCTCTCTCTGCAGCCTGGCCTGTACCTCTGTCCCTCTTCTCACCAATCCTCAGACTCCATGAGGCCACAGGGACCAGCTCTTGTCTCTTACATCCTCCATTTCAGAGGGGTTGCACCCTGCTGTCCCTTCCCTTAGTATCCTGTAGGACTCTGCAGCTCCCTCTCCTGTCCTGTCCTCTCCCATTCCTGGGATCCTGAGGGGGGCACTCGGGACTCTGGGAGCAGCCCTACAGAAATGCCTGTTTAGAACAGGCCTTGGCTACACTGACCCAACGGGATGGAATACCCCAGGCGCAGCAGCACCCGAGGAGCGATGGCCGAGGCTGGGGCGTAGACGGAGCTCATTGTACCACGGCGGTGCCCAGACACGCGCAGGACACCCTGGCTGAGTCCCGGGAGGCATACAGCTGCTCCCTTAGCTGTCAATGGTTAACGGTGCAGGTGGGAAATTGTGGCTCCCATTTGCCAGAACAGATGCAGTGCCAGAGTGAAAGACTCTGTGTTAGCCAGGGACGGGGGTGGGAGGAGCATTCCATTACTTGGGCTGGGGGGAGGGAGGAATTCAGAGGTAGCCAGGCCTCCTCTCACCTTGCTTTTCTTGCGCTCCACCTCTGAGGGCGTCAGGGTGTCAGCTTTCGCCAGGATGGGCACAATGTTCACCCGCTGATGGAGAGCTCTCATGAATTCCACATCCAGGGGACGAAGGCTGCCGACAGAGAGCAGAGTTAGCCCTGTGTAAACTGGGGCTGGATGTTCTCCTCGCTACAGGACTCTGGCAGAGCGAGCATCCACCAAGCACTGCCCTGGCAGTGCGAGCTGGGAACTCCAGTGTGAGTTTCCCCGGAGCAGCGCCCTGGCAGTGCCCAGCCAGGACTGCGGCAGTGCGAGCATCCTCCAAGCACTGCCCCCCCCCCCACTGCCCGCTGAGCCCCCTGCAATGCAAGTGTTCCCAGAGCAGCCCTCAGCCAAGAGTCCTGCAGCAGCCCAGTCAGTGCTTGGCTGGGAGTCCAGAGCTGGGAGCTCCACACTATGGGCCCACCCAGGGCCCGCACTCAGTCACTGAGCTGCAAGCCTTGCTCGCTAGGGCCATGTCTCGGCCTTGTGGGCAAGGTGGTTTTAGCCTTCTCAGGGAAGGCGGGAGGAGCGGCTGCGGCAGGAGTTCCCAGACCCGTGTCCGAAGGGTGAGATGACGTAGAGGCAGCAGTGCACGCGGTTGTCCTGGATGTTCTTCCGGTTCAGGCCACTCTCGTCCCGGAAATATTGCTCGAATTGCTGATCTATGTAATCAGCCACAGGTTTCCAGCTGTGGAGAGAGGGGACAGGCTGGAGAAAGCCAAGTGAAGCCAGTGCCCGTTGCACCGGCCGGCATGTTAAAAGAACTCTCTGTACTAGGAAATGTAAGACCGTCAGCTTGGAATTACCCTGCTTCCACTGTCCTGCAGGGAGATGCTGCCCCTCTCCAGCCCGGACCCAGTTGCGAGAAGCTACGAGCTTCACTAGTGCTGAAATACAGGGATGACTGCACCAGAACCCAGGCCGGCATCTGCTCTATGACAGTGCAAATGGCGGAGGGCAATCGGGGGAAATTCTTATCCTCCTCTTTCAGCCTTGCATCCCAGATTAACCTCACAGGCCTGGGGAACTGTCCTTCATCCAGGCCTCCGCTAAGATAACACAGCATGCGTAAAAGCACATCATAAAGTGCTAGAAATGTAACAGAGCCACCCCTCACCTGACAGAAGTGATGTGCCAAATCAGGAGATCTGGGACTCTGCTATTAGACCCATGTTGCGATAGCTGCCTCTTTAGCTCAGGCGGTAGAAGCTCCTGCTTTCCCCCCGTGGTGCCAGGTTCAGTGACCCCGATGACCCACACACAGGCACTGCACTGTCTATGAGCACGAGCCTGCAATCTGCTCCCACAGGCAGGAAGACAAACCACAGATCCCGCTGCCCCCTGTGCTGCTGCTGTCTCCCAAAGCCTTGTGTAGCCCACTGGACAGGGGAGAGTTGGGCCTCCTGTACAGGTCAGCCCACAGGGAGCAGCAGTTAACGTAGAAGAGGTCTGAGCTATGGACCTAAAGATGGCGGGTTCACACCCAGCTGCTAAGCCAGGGGAGCAGTAAATATAGACACGTATAGCTGCTAGGGAGAGGAGCCTGGTGTGACTGTTAGCAGGGGTCTAGACTCTAAGCTGTGCTATGAGAAGTGAATGGGGACACTGTACTAACATTCGTTATGCTGGGGCAGTTTACTATTTACTGGGTTAATGGGAACTAGCTGTTTGCGGTAGCCTGAGACTGAGAGCAGTTGTTGGGGTGGGATTTTGCCTGTGTCCAGGGCAGGAAAGCCTGGTCCTGAACTTATCATAGAATCACAGAATCATAGAATATCAGGGTTGGAAGGGACCTCAGGAGGTCATCTAGTCCAACCCCCTGCTCAAAGCAGGACCGATCCCCAATTAAATCATCCCAGCCAGGGCTTTGTCAAGCCTGACCTTAAAACTTCTAAGGAAGGAGATTCCACCACCTCCCTAGGCAACGCATTCCAGTGTTTCACCACCCTCCTAGTGAAAACGTTTTTCCTAATATCCAACCTAAACCTCCCCCACTGCAACTTGAGACCATTACTCCTTGTCCTGTCCTCTCCAACACTGAGAATAGTCTAGAACCATCCTCTCTGGAACCACCTCTCAGGTAGTTGAAAGCAGCTATTTGATTTAAGAGAGCAGCCTCGCTCTCCTCCACACCTATTACAGGGGGGGAAGAGGGTGCTGTGTATCTGTCACCAGTTTGAATCCTGCCCAGTGTAGCTCCCACACATGTCTGGGGGCTCTGCCCCATTTCCAGCTCCCACCGCCCCATGCACCCCTGTGCTCTGCATTACACTGTAAGCTCTTCAGGGCAGGGCTGTCTCTGACGTGTGTTCAGACAGAGCAGAGCACCATTGGGGCATGCCCCTCTGGGCAGCAGGAACCACAGCTGCCTCCCTGGGCATGTGGCAAAGTCGGTCCCACTGTGACTGGCACAGGGCGGGTGGGAAGCAGATCAAACAAACAGAGAAAAAGCCACTCATCTTTTCTGGTAAATCTCTCTGTCTCTGGGCCGGTCTCAACATCTGTTGGGGTCTGGGTCAGGATTGTTGGATTTTTAAGGTTGGCCATATGGGTTGTCTGATCTGTAGCTGTGTCTGGGGAAAGGCAGTGTTTCCCAGTGGGTAGAGCACTGAACTGGGACTCAGGAGACCTGGGTTCTAGTCCCAGCTCTGCCACCAGCTGGGTGACCTTGGGCAAGTCACTGTCCCATGCCTCAGTTTCCCCATCGGTAAAATGAGGATAAGGACCCTACCCTCTGGAGATCTGTTTAAGAGCTAGGTGGCATTATTTCCTTTACTTCTGTTGGTTTAAACTACAGTGTTTCTCTGTACCACGAACTAGACTTACTGGCAGAAATGAATCCAGAACAATGGGGCTTGTTAAAGGGCAAAGCTCACACCACAGGTGGGGTCAGGACCTGCATGCACACATCCTTTTGGTGGATGTAAGAGCTGGAGTGCGCCAGGCTGGCTTTCCAAAGTAATTTTCCTGGCTGAGTCCCTCACATTGTGCAGATAAATCACAGGAGCAACAAACAGCCAGACCAGACCGGACATTTACCTCGCAAGGCAGCCTGGGAAGCCAGGAATTCTGTTCCAGCCATGAACATTGCCACCTTGTTCAGCTCCCTCTCTGGGGTCACCAATAACTGTACAGACAAGCACTGACCCCAGGACTGCACTCTGGGATTGGCCCCTTTGTACACGATGGCTCAGTTACTACCGCTTTTATGTTCCTCTCTCCAGACAGGTGTCTTCCCCATGCAACCACTCAGCACCAGGCTTCCAGGCCATTAGCAGAAAGCCTGATTTGTACCCCGAGCCTCCTCCAGTCTCTGCTGCCCCCCCCCCCGCCCCCACCGGATGTGAGCAGTTCAGTGAGGCAGGGCTCACCTGCTCAAGCCAGCTGGTTTGTGTGCAGTGGCCTGTGCTCATCTAGTACTTGGTATCATTTATGTTCTCTCCAGGGGCCAGACTGCCCAGTGTGTGTGGCTGCCCGGGCTCCTGCTCATCCTGCCAGGCGAACTGCGGAGCCATGGCCCCTTCCTCTCCCGTGGGACATACCATTCCGTGTTGTTCACAGCGTCGCCGAATCCTGGGGTGTCCACAATGGTCAGGCGCAGTTTGACCCCCTTCTCCTCAATGTCCACCACGTGTTTGGTGATCTCCACTGTCTGAGTAATGCGCTCTGGAACAGCAACAGAAGCAGTCAGTGGGTTGATCCGGCAGGGGCCAGGGGGAGCCGAGCTTGGCTGCACCAGGACGGTGGAGGCCCAGATCAGTTACCTGTGCGCAGCTGCAGGGCCAGCCTGTGCCAGGTACCTGGGGGTGATGCAGAGCTGTGCTGTGCCAGCGAGCTCTAGCAGGGATGGTCTCAGATCCTCAGCACAAAGAGGCAGGACCATGGCCTGGGCTCTTCTCAGCTCCTCCCCTTGCTCTCTGGGGAGATCTGTGCCTCACGGATGCTCAGAGGGGACAGCCCTTGTGCTCTCCTGACTGCAGGCCCCTCGACTGGGACTGGCCCTTGTTCAGGGGTGCAAGGGCTGGGGTGAGAGAGCTCCAGGCTCCCTCTTCCTCCCTGCATGCCTGTGCCTGTGGAACCTGGAGCACTGCTCCACTGCTCTGGTGGTAATGCACGGCGGGCGGGGAGCATGTTGGGAGGTAGAAAGAGACGAGTGGAGAAGAGGCAGCTGCAGGGCTCCCCTGAAAGAGCGGAAAAGGGGAAGCAGCCCCAGTTGGGGAGCGTCTAGGCAGGGCGGCATGAAGGGAATGATGGGAGAATCAGTCCCATGGTGATTTCCAGAGGAGTCCGGGCTCTTTACACTCACCAGGGCAGGGCAAGCAGGCTGAGCAGAAGCCGCTCCCTGGCCATGCCCAAGGCCCCTTGCTGCAGTTTGTGGCTACATTATCAATGCCACACTGCTCCAGTGCCTTGGAGGGGGAACTCGGTGCAGGGAGGGTTGCAGCCCTGGGGCCCGAGCGAAGGCCACACCAGCACTGCTTAGAGATGGCAGCTCCCGTGGCTGCGGTGTGGGGACAGTGAAGATGTGGGCACTGCCTGTCATGGTCCGGCACCGCAGCGAAGGAGCTGGCCTGCTGCAGACTGACCATACATAAACAAATCTGGGTCGTCCCCGGAGAGCCCCAAACACATTGCTCAGGGCCCTGGCTGTGACAGGCGCTTGGCTCCCGTGCAGCTCCCCAGACCCTGAGAAGAGAAGCTCGGTCAGGACCCATCCCAGCCCTGGAGGAGCTGATTCTGGGGGCTGACATGCCAGGAAATGTGCGAGTCCCCCCTCCCCCTGCTCAGCTAATGCAGCGGAGCCCTTTGGATTGTGTAAATGGGCCTGGAGTCATTTCAGCATCTGTGACTGTCTGCCATTTAATCCTCCCTTTTCAGAGGCTATTCCTGAGGCGCGGCGTTCTACGGCTCCAAGCCAACGTGCAGCACTGGGCCCAACGGCATCTTGGCACATGGCAGGCGGGAGTCATTTGGCAGAGGCCTTCACTCTGCCTTTGTCATTGGTTGGGCTGCACACTTTCAGGGCCGATTCAGACAGCCTTAAGCGGGGTGTCCCCAGGCAGGGGTTCAGCCTTCTCCATACCGGACGAGCTCCAACAGGCCAGAGGGGAGCAATGGACCCCAGAGCCAACCTGTGCGTGGGCAGGGAGGAACGGGGACAGTGCACTGCCACAGAGGCAGCAGACCCCCAATTCTTGTGGGATGGGGGAGAGCTATACAGAGTCCCCTCTGTGCATGGCTGAGGGGTACAATGCTGCCTCCACGCCCCCAGTACCTGGGCACTGACCACAGCCAGGTGTAACACACACACAGGACTCTGCCCTGGCCGCTAGGGGCATCTCTCCTGTCCTTTTGGGGGGTTGATTTCCTGTGGGAGGGGAGTATGACATTGCACTCCATAAGCTTTATGAAGGTATGCTTATTAATGTGAATATGATGTAACTGGAATATGCTTTATGCAAAAGGTCTCTTGTAAGGTATCATTACAAAGCTTATAATCTACTGAGTGTGGTCATCCTATTTGTATGCATGTACCATTCTTGTATCGGAAGCTAGAAATATGAAGTATAACGCTGAGGTCCTATTGTAATTATGCAAGGTATGGGCCATTAATGGTGGTTTAGAATCCTGATGGCTCCCATTGACTAGGACAATTGGTTGTAGATGGTTTATTTACCTGCAAGCCTTCCTGTGTATGTGTGGGCCAGCCCTTGGATAATGAAAAATGAAGTCTCACAGGACATGTGACCATGTCACATGACACTGGAATCCATCTTAAATCTGGTACTTTTCCATTTAGAAGGAGGGGTGGAGACCCAGAAAGACAAAAGATTCCCGCTTGTGCCAAAGCTATAAAAGGGGGTGGAGCAGGACAAAGCGGTCCCAGTCATGAGAAAACCCCTAGTTTCCACCTAAGATGTCTGCTGGAACTAACAAGGACTGTACCAGGGGAAAGGATTGGGCCCAGACTAGGAAGGCATCCAGTCTGTGAAAGAAGCTTATTGGAACATCTCTGAGGGTGAGATTTTACCTGTAATCAGTTTCTTAATGTACTAGGCTTAGACTTGCGTGTTTTTGCTTTATTTTGCTTGGTGACTTATTTTGTTCTGCCTGTTATTACTTGAAACCACTTAAATTCTACTTTTTATACTTAATAAAATCACTTTTGTTTATTAATTAACCCAGAGTAAGTGATTAGTATCTGGGGGAACAAACAGCTGTGCATATCCCTCTATCAGAGAAGAGTGAGGGGGGATTTGATAGCAGCCTTCAACTACCTGAAAGCGGGTTCCAAAGAGGGACGGAGCCAGGCTGTTCTCAGTGGTAGCTGATGACAGAACAAGGAGTAATGGTCTCAAGTTGCAGTGGGGGAGGTCTAGGTTGGATATTAGGAAACACTATTTCACTTGGAGGGTGGTGAAGCACTGGAATGGGCTACCTAGGTGGTGGTGGAATCTCCATCCTTAGGGGTTTTTAAGGCCCGGCTTGACAAAGCCCTGGCTGGGATGATTTAGTTGGTGTTGGTCCTGCTTTGGGCAGGGGGTTGGACTAGTTGACCTCCTGAGGTCTCTTCCAACCCAAATCTTCAATGATTCTATGAATTCCAAACTCACCGGGAATGTTCTCAGCAGGGGTGGCCAGAATGCTATTGATTTGGGGACAACTCAGAAGAGGGAAAGTGGAGACACATGGAGCATAGGCAGCTGTTGATTGCACTCTGCTCGCCGGCCTAAGAGAGCTGAATGTGTGGACATCCTGAAGGAGAGGGGAGAACTAATGGTTCTCTCAGCTGGGAGCCCGGGACAGAGTCTCAGCCAACAGGGGCAGCCAGAGGAGAGGGGAGAGAGGCCTTCATTCCTTCAAGCCTGCCCCAGGTGGGCAAGAGTCCACCTTCCCTTCCAGTCTGGGGGGAAGAAAGGTACTTGGGGGTGGGGGGAGGAGAGGCACTGGCATGGGCGGAGAATGGGGGAGCCTCTGCAAGGGAGGGGGATGGGAGGATGGCATGAAGTGAGCTCAGGGGAGAGGGGAATGCAGGGATGCCGGGAGCCCTTGGTGCGTATAGTGAGCTCAGCTACACGTGTGCACTCCCCTCAGACAGTCCCTGGGCTACTGTCACAAAGGGGCCCAGGCACCTCACCACCTCGTTAGGTGTCACTGGCATCTGCAAACCCTTGCTTGGCTGCCACCGAACCCTGCAGGTGCCTAAACTCGACGGTTTCCGAGTGGAGGTTCCACACACACGGATGCTTCTGCCTCAGGGCATCGCACTGCAGGCCCCCGGCAGGCCTGCAGCACCTGAGCCCCGGTGCGAGCCATGAATGGGGCATTCCTCCACTGCACTCTGCTGCGGGCCCCGATCCCACAAGCACGCTCCCAGCCCGCCCCGCTCCACCCAAAGCAGCCAGGAGAAGCAGAGGAGCAGGGGTTCCCTGCTACCCGCCAGCCCAGCAGGCAGGGCACTCACCCGGGAGAAGAGACGTGTGGTTCTGGTCCCCCTGCTCCAATTGCTCTAATTCTGTACCCACCATGGAACTGCTTCACCAGGAGAGACTGAGGAGCCCAGGGAAGAACAGCACCTGGCGAGTGCACTCGCCTGGGAGGGGGCAGATTGTTGGATCATATTAAAGAAGTTCTATATTAAAATCACAAATGAGTTTGATTCCCCATAGTTTCAATTCCAGGGTATTACTAATTAAGAGGTCTCTTGGTTTTTGGTACTGTTTCTCTCCCTGTATGTGTGAAACTTGCAAGCTGCTAATTGCGTTAGTACTTTCTAAGACAGAGTCTGTTCTCAAAGCAATTCACACAGAGAGAGACTCAAAGCAATACTCTGTAACAACAGAAACAGCACCCAGAGACTCCCCGCCCTTTTGTTGTATTAACAATTGTGATTAAAATAGAGATAGAGGATGTATGTGGATGGATGCTTGGTGTGGATAATAACTGAATGATCAGGGAGGTGCCAGCCTAAGAATCCAGTGTCCATTGGCTGAAGAAGGCATCAAGTGGAAATAACCAGAGGACCCCCGGAGGGCAGACTGGAATCCACCCAGCAGCCTCAAGAATGGGAGAACCAAAGAACAAGATACATCTGGCAGCAGGGAGCCATCAGGAATGTGACATCTGCTGATTGATTCAGCAACAGCATGATGAAGCAATTCCCATAGACTGGCATAGGAAGAAATTCCTATAAAAATGGATTCTAGAAAGTGAGAACTTTGGGGTCTGATTCTGCAAACCAACTTCCAGGAGCATCAGATGAGCATCTGACAAGGCCCTGCTCCCTCCTCATGTCCAGGTCACCTGGCCAGTGGCTTGGCATGAGCAACTCTAAGGCTGGTAACTATGATAACAACCTTGCAGAACCTGTGTGTGTGTGTGTTTGTATGAATGAATGTGTGAATAAATATGAGATTGAATGGAATGTTATAGCTATAACTAACTGCTTACTATGATTCTTTCTGTATCCACAATAAATGTGGTATTTTGCCTTTTCCCCTTTAATAAGATCCTGCTGGTTTTTATTCTATTGGTATAACAAGATCCCTGTTCACAGCTCTTCTGCTCAGGCCAGGAGAGTGCTCCAGCCACTGGGCGAGAGGCTAGGGGCTCATGGCAAGCAGAGACAGGCGCTGCTCTGCAGCTTGGATTGAGGTGCTGAACTC